TTTATAATTTTGTTTAGTGTATGTGATTTGAAGGTTGATGGATTGGAACAGTCTCCAATGTTTTTGTGGAGAGCGGTCCAGAGTGAATTGTTGGTAGGAGGAAGGCTGTTAGTGGCGGTACAGATTGAAATTAAATGAAATTATTAAAAACAACCATACATTGTTTATTCGAGCACTATTGATCCCTATTGAGTTTGCTCTTAACGAAACTAGAGCTCCCCTGCTCTGCTCTAAAACAGAGGTGAATGGTGTCTCTGAAGGGTGTATACTGGTCTTTCAGTCCAGGTGATAAAATCCAGGTAGTCACAGTGTGTGTAGTTAACTTTCACTGGATCTGATCCAGTTTCAGGGTTAGATGTTCAACATGTTTTTACTTTTGTGTGATTATTATTTTGTGTTAATCTGCAGGTTTGAGCGCATTGACGATGTTGTTTGTCTTCCTGTTGTTCTGTGTTCTGATTGGAGCTTTTTTCTACTGGATCAGGTGATCACACACACACACACACACACACACTTCCTGTGCTCTGTTTACTCTTATCAGTCAGTTAATCTGTCTGCACTCAAACACAAAACATTTCCATTATTAATCAATGAAGTGTAACCTGATCAGGGCGGCTGTGTCTCTAGAGCGGGTCGTCCACTGATCAGAAGGTTAGTGGTTCGATTCCCGGCTCCTCCTGCTGCATGTTGAAGTGTCCTTGAGCACTAATAATAATGATCTGTGTCTACAGTAAGTACAAGAGAGCAGCGACTATCACCAAACTCATCCTGACTCTGGACGATATTGTCTTCATCGACACTCAAGTCAGCAGGAAGGTCAGAAACAGTTTATCCGTTTACAGTACTGCTTATACTGATACTAGTACTGAAGTCAAGTTTTATTTACAGCACAAAGTTAAAAATGCCATCCAGTTTGGGTAGAGAAGGGCTTCAACACAATCCCAGAGGGGAAACAGGATCCAGGACCAGCGGCTGTTAAAGTTGATTAGTGGTAACATCAGTGCCCCCATTATAAGGATGTTGCTTTGAAATTAGTTTAATGTAAAATCCAATGTGGGTTTTAATTTATAAATAGACTTACACATTATGTTTAGTAGCCTGAGCACCAAGAACATTAGTGTAGTCGGATGTGGAGGCTTTATTTTTCATTCCTCTATCAGGGTTAGGGTAGAACTGCTTATGTGTTTTTGTTGTTGTTTGTTGATATTCTGGTTCATTCTGTTGTTGTTGTTGTTTCTGTAGAAACTGAATGATGAGTCAATCATGAGAAGTCTTCTAGAAATTAAAACTCCAATCCGCTCGATTGCTCGAAGTTACATCCTGACAACACCTGAGAGCTCCAACATTGGAATACTGGAGGTACACCTGTAGTTTTCTGTGTACCTGTACCTGTCTGTTTACCTGTACCTATACCTGTCTGTGTACCTGTACCTATACCCGTCTGTTTACCTATACCTGTCTGTTTACCTGTAGCTATACCCGTCTGTTTACCTATACCTGTCTGTTTACCTTTACCTGTCTGTCTGTCTGACTTACTGACTCTGTACTTTGATTGATTGTGTTGTTACCAGGGCGACTGGGTTTGGCTGAAGAAGATACATGTTGGAAAGACAATAGCAGCCATCAATCAAAAAACCCAGAGTCTGTTCAGCCAGGTACGCTGAATGGAAGCTGGATGGATGCAATGTTTTTTTTTAGTTTTTCTTTTAAGTTATTTTTTTGGGCCTTTTATTGCCTTTATTGGATGGTG